AGTATAGTCTTTCGTATCCGTTGCGGACTTGGGGAGTGGGGGGATGAAGTTTAAAGCACAAGGTGGTGGGTTGGTGGTGGTGATGGGGGGAGTGTGTCGTTTTTGGGGAATCCCGACGATAAAAAAAAAAAAAAAAAAGATTATATGTTCACACAGGCTTACAAGTCCGGGGTTTTCAAAATGAATACAGAGGTCTTTTTTTTTTTTTTTTTTTAAGCAGAAGTAGAAATGCGTGGTGTCAACTGTAAGATGCCACCAAATTAGCGAAAAAAATAAATAAGATTAAAAATAATTTAAAAAAAAATTCCCGCAGTAGACTTAGGTTTTTTTTCTTTTTTTTTTTTGCAAACCTTACGGGCCTAACAGCTGAAACAAAGAGGCAACCATTTGCTGCTCACGCACACAAAAACCTTACAGGGAGCGGGGAAAGAATACCAACACAATAATAGTTTCATAGGTGGCGTCAACGTCAAAAAGGCCCAAACTACTTTTTACAAGAAGACCCCCTCCCACCCACCACCTCCCCCTTCAAAAAAAAAAAACCTCTAATAGCCTCTAATAGGTCCACTGGCTGGTTTCAGTAAGGGGTGAGGGCCCTACAAACAGACCCCCATATCGGAATAATTAGCATTTTTCTTTTAAACTAACTATAGGCTAACAAAATGTAGGTGAATACAGGCAGCTAAAGGGGGAGCAAAGCACATTCAACCCCTATCGGGAAAGGGAATTCCCTGGTCCAAAAACAAACAAAAAATAAAATAAAAAACCCAAAAGAAAATGATTAGAGCTTTTTTTCTACCGTTGGATATCTGAGCCGCAAAATAATAAACAATACCAAGTGGCTGTATTGAATTCCTCACGCTAGGCCTGGTTGGGAGTTGAAGAAAATAGTCTCTGTACTTCCACGTAACAGTTATACAAACACCGGGGACAGCTTCAGGCATATTGAACTCGCCAGCTTTTCTCGGGCAGGTCCGCCTTCTTCACACGAAAGTAAGCAAATTCCCATTGCATCAAAAGATACATTCGCTTCTTTCCCCCGTTTCCCCTAATCCTTCTCCGACTTATATCGACGCGCACGGACAATCCGCCTACTTTCTAAATGAAGTTTTCAAGGTTGAAGCTTCTCGGTGGGGCTGCCTGGGGCTGTGGATACTGTATCCTCCTGTCATATTAGCTGCTCGCCGGCTGATGCGGAACCCGACGGAGGGGAGGAGCGAGCGGGCGGGAATCAGTATGCAAAATGGGGTTTGACATCAGGAGGAGGAGAGATTGGTGGAGCGTGGAGGTGGGGGGGGAGACAGGGCTATTAATTTGCAGGGCACCACGGCGGGGGAATTGGTTTTTGTTTTTTTTTAGTGAAATTCAGCTGAGGAGAGGAGAGGAGGAGGGGGGGGGGCTTCGCTGCCATGCAACCCCGGGGTTTCATGCGGGGTGGTTTAACGGCGCAACGCGACTCACTTGCCGCCGCGGTGTTGTTGGGGGTTAAAGGGTACTCTTGGAACCGGGCGTCCCGGACAGGAGGAGTCCTTCTTCAGAAACTTTGGCGTTTTTCCCAGCTCGATGGTGGGGACCGGCGGGGAGGATGATAACCGAGCCTTCTCATTGGTTCTTCAAGGTCGGGCCACTCCGAGGGCCACGCAACTTGTCCTCCCGGCTAGCGCTCTCATTTGCGCTGGGGGGTGTCCCAAACATGCGGCAGAGCCTGATGGCTGGTTCAGGCGGCCACTCTTTTTTTTCGGGTCTGTTTTTTGAAGATGCTCACCGCAGGTGGGAAATAAACAGTTGGATGTTAAAGGACAGACAGCTGCTGCTTTTTTATAGCATGCTCTTTGATTAAGCCATGTTTTATTTTTTTTTAACTTTATAACCCATCTGTTGTCCATTTTTATTTTAGGCAGTACCTGCCGCGGCCTAACTGCCGTAGTATCTGGGGGGCCCCTACCCCCACCCTATACTTACATTACTACTACTAACCACCACTAATTAATAATAATAATACATTTTAATTTCATGCCAGAAGGGCCATAAAAAAGCCACATAAACTACCATTAGTAAAACAAAACAAACAATAAATAATAATAATATAACCCAAACCCCATACTACTAATAATAACATGTATTTCCTATTAGTAGTATTTAGTATTAAATATTAAGGCAGCAGGTTACATTCATCCATCTTTTGCACTGTTTTCGTTTTGATGGTCTTGAGACAGCAGCCTAAATAATTAATTAAGACAGGGACTGACATTTTTTAGTGTTATTTTTGAAGGAAATGTTAATAAAAAAATGTGGTAAAATGTAAAATAATGTAATCAGACCCAACATGGTGGAGGTATTTTATTACAGCGCTAATTAACTGAAAGATGTAGATGTAAACATGTTGATTTTGGTACAAAAAAAACTCAACATATTTTTTCCAGGGAGGAAAAAGTAAGAAAGTTAGTAAGTGGGCACCATGGACCTACTCTTTCCAAGGGTCAAGAATGAAACTTTTAACCTACTCATCCACAACCAGGGGATTTTCCATAAAGCCAGGGTTTCAATAGTGGGGAGTCCCTGATGCCACAACCATCCCATTGTAAATTGTGTAGAGGCTCATTTCAATATTATTTGCTTCCTTTCTTGGCTTAAAAACAGCACTTAACGTTTCCCATGTCAAGGACAAAAACAAACAAATTAGGGACCACAGAATTGCTAAGAATTTTTGTCCAGAAGGACCTTTTAATTTTAGGTACATCAGTTCAAATCAAATTTTTGGATTTATTTATATAGCACATTTTAAAACAACCAGGAGTTGGGACCAAATTGTGGATGTACAACATTAAAGTGCATGACACAATAAAAAGAAACTATAAATATAAGGCCAATAACAAATATGGTGCACAAATGTAAAATCAGGGAGGACAGAACAGGTTAGCAAACATCTCTTCATAAAATGTTCTCCTACAAAAACTACCTGTTGGGGACCAAACAGGCACATCCTGGTTCCCATCATGGTTCCAAAGAGGTGGACCAGGAAGGAAATCAGCTGCTATAACAAAGTACAGAGTAGACCTTAATTTACACATTCCAGCTTTTAGGTGCCACTGCATGATGGCTTTTATTGCATGCAAGTGTTCCTGACCTGTCCAACTTTCTTAGTTTTCCTACAATACTTTTTACTTTGCATCCACTGAGGGTTAGGTGGGTCTGGTGGGTGCTGTGAAGCCTCATAATGTTCCTATGGCTTACTTTTGGGGGGCTTGTCTTTACTTGACTCTGATTGAGAAATCCAAGGTTTTTATTTGTCAGGCTGACATCTTTAGAAATACTTTTCTATAAACCCGATGTACATGTATTTCATGGTGTATTTTAAATGCAACACAGGGAAAGAAAAAAATATGTAATTATTAATCTGGGACATTACAAAGCTGTCTCTGTGTACTGCGCAATTTGAAAATCTAGCCCCTCACAGTCATTAATATCATCAGTTGTTAAAGGAGAAGGACTACTGCTGGGACTGCCTGGGTCCAAACGCTTATTAAGTTCACTGCTTACTCGGCATACGGCTGGTCAGCGAGAAATCTTTTTCACGCGGGTGCGGGCCAACTCAGAGCGCTTGGATGGACAGAAGCACATCTCCTGCAATGCAACACATCAGCCACCAGGAGGGACCTCTGGTGCTGATTCACAGGCAGGTAAAAGTTGTTCTCAGGAGACAACAGGACGGGAGGGGGGAATAGGTGAGGTGGTATGATAAAAGCGGGGGGTGGGAGTCATAGTAGACAGGGGGTGGCAGATGTAGCAGGAACCAGGGAGGAGAGGAGAAGGGAGAGAGAGTTTTTTGAGTTTGATGGATGCGTGGAGGAGAATTGGAGGTCTGAACTGGGTTGTATTGGATGGAGGAGAGAGAGAGAGAGAGATGAGGAGAGAGAGGAGAGAGGGAAGGGAAGGACAGCATTAATTCGATACGAGGGCCCGCAGAGTGGGGGCAGTGGGAGGAGGAAGGCAGCCAACAACGAGGGAGGACTTAGGGGGCAGGATGCTACATGGTAGGGTAGGGCAGTGGGGGGGGGGGCAAGATTGGTGAGGTCCTTCAATGCTGCTACCTGGTCACTTGACTCCTTCTGCTCTCTCAAAATGGCGTATGGTGAGTCTTCAATTCAGGCACGCCCTCTCCCGAGCTGGTGATTGAAAAAATAGATGTTTATCCTGTTATCATCAAATACTGACGCCTCGCAATATTAGAGCATCGACTCTTATCTCTCGTGTTTACTTATTGTTTATGTTGTTGTCAGTATTTTGATAACAAGTGAACAACATGATGATGACTCTGTAGCAAAGATGATGAATGGCAATGATTCAGGGGGGAGCAGTACATATTTTTTTTCACCTCGTGTTTTTTTCCACCATGAGTTACATCCACAAGCTGCTGAATGTTTTGCTACGTGGACTCGTCATCTATGCGGTACTGGGCTTGGAGTGCACTTACTCGAATGATCTGCCCAGCCAGACATCTGATGCTGCAAATGTAGCCACCACAGGTAAGCAGCAATCCATGTCGGATACAAGTGTCTCCTATGTATTTACGCATGTACACTATCACCCCCCCACACCTCCCTCCCTCTCTCTCCCTCCCTCTCTCTCCCCCCTCTCCCCCTCATCATCCTGTTCCCTGTGGCTTTCTCGGGGAAAGCCGAGGAATGCCCTACGCAGGGGCTTTAGTGGCGAGTGATGCATTCAATGTCGACATACACCTTTTATTTTTTATTTTTTATTTTTTATTTTACCCCCCCCCTCCTCTCATCATCCTCTCCCCCACTGTACATTGCCGAGGAATGCATGACATGACAGGAATGCAGGATGCATCCTCACAGAGACAGGGGTATTTTACTGTAATGGTGCCCTTCATGTGTCGCCAAGGGTGTTTAGTGGTGAGAGGTGGGATATAGATCTTCATGGGATCAATCCCATAAATCCATGAATGTCAGGTCCCTTCTAATCAAAGGGAGCCGGGCTAAGTAGCCTCTGTTTACATCAGTAGGTGCTGATCATTGCCAAGAAGGCCACAGGTGACCCCCCTCTGAAATTGTGCTATTGACATAACCTAATGAGAGGATTTCCATCTATTTGCATCTGTTTTCACCAGGAAATATTGATTGGTTGTTCGCTTAACAGGCTTTTGTGCATGCCAGGTGCCTCAAAGCCACGATAAAAGCCCAGGAATGGAGAGACAAATGTGTAGAAAGCTTTATTTCCTCTGTACATGGGTAGACGTTTGGCAACAGACATACAAGGTATCTGGCTGAAGCTAATTTGCAGCTCACGTCCGTGGTTGTGATTTTAAAAATTAAAAAATTAAAGTTCAAACAACTAAAAGAAGATGCGGATAAGGCCTATCTTCAGGACACAGACGGATACAAAGGATGTGTGCATGTGTTAATGTACATGTGCACACACGTTGACATATAAGGCGACGAATAAGTGTCAACGTGTACGTATATATGGAGGCATACATGTACAGCACAGTCCTGTCTGACAGTGTGTCTGAGGCGTGTGTGTGAGTCAGATACTGGGAGAGATATCTGAATCTGCTGATATGTTAGTAAGCTAATGTTTCCGTCTATAAGCGGTGGTTTGTGTTATTTTATGTTATTTAAAATGTGGATCGCTTCCTTTCCTTTTCATGGAGGTTCTGCTTTCACTATGGGAACCACTTGCTTTCATCCACTCAGAGACGGCCTCCATTATTGTCAGTAACACAGGCAGTGTGATTGAAAGGGACTATAGACTAAGGTCAAACAAGACTCGAGGTGTAACCGGTGGATAGGAAGCAGGATTGGACATTCATAAAGATATTTTCAAAACGACATTTTTGCCAACCTATTCTGACAACCGTGCAGAGATTTATTTTTTCACGGTTGTGCTTTAAGCGTTTGACTTCTTTTCATGCCCGGGACGGTTTGTTACAACTCTGCTGTCTCTGTTAACCGAGCTCCCAACAATACAGAGCTCCAAACACAACGCAGGGTCTAAAGGAATAGTTTGACATTTTGAGAAATATGCTTATTCACTTTCTTGCCAAGAGACTATTTTTTTTTTAGCTGAGACCAGTTGCCGGGCAACCAGAGGAGAGTCCAGGAAGTCGGCGGTCCCGGGCCAAGAAATAGACGGGGAATTTGCGTATGAACGGATCAAAAGAACAATATGTGGGGTTTTAATTAGAGAGCTGTAGAGGTGCAGCTAAAATCGGCTGTTTCCTGTCTTTATGCTAAGCTACTAGCTAACTAATAATAACTTCTAGCTGCATCTCTTGGCCTCCATCAGAAGTTGAGGTTTGCTCGCTGGTCAAGGCGATGGTACAGCTGACTAGCCTTGAAAAGAACACCCTGGTTATGATCTCCCCTCCAAGCTTCACCCACTGATGAAGGTCCACCAAAAGTCGCTTAAAGCCCCAGAACATTTCCAGAAGAGCAAAAACGAACCTTCGGGCTCAAACCTAGTTCTTGCATATACAAGTGTGTTTGATGACACATCTCCCTGCAGCAGACCCGTCACTTCCCTCCCCTTACCCATAAAGGATAAGTCAAACATGATGCAAATGTTAGCAGTCAATTTTTTGCATAGATTCAATAAAGGTAAACTTTTGCACTTTGGGCTGTTTGAACAAATACAGGCTGTGTTTTACTGCCAACATTGACAGAACACAGTTAGGCTCTGCAGCTTAAGACACACAAAAGCCCTGTAAGTGGAAGTCTATAGACTCATCTCTATATTCATGTTCATCTAAGACATCCACCCCTGCCTGTCTGTTAAGGCTGCGGGACAAACGAATAAACCTCGCTCCAGACAGCTGTTAAGCATTCACGACTGTCCGCTTACAAGCGCCAGGCAGCTCCTGAAAATAACCCGGGCACATATACATTGATTAATAAGGCAAACGTGCACACAACAGCTCGGCAGTGTAAACACGGGCCAGGGGACGATGCGAGCCCTCTCTCCCTGCAAACAATGAAGTGCAGTGGAGATAGCGGTGACTTAATACAGTGTCAGTAAACATGACCGCGGTGTTACCCGTTTCCCAGCCGGCTCCCTGGAAAGGTCAGCTGCCTTTTCACTGGTCTTGGCGTCAGGAGAGGAAAACACAGCTCTGTGTGTGTGTGTGTGTGTGTGTGTGTTCATGTAGCTCCTGTATACGCAGAGTTGTCTTTATTAACGGCAGATTAACAGCTGCCTCGGTGAATCTTGAATTGTGTTTTTTTTTTTTTAAAGCTTCAGAGGATGACTGTGTAACTTTTGAGAGAAGAAAAAACTCATTGTTCCTCTTACAAATGATCAAGTTGAATTCACAGGGAGTGAAAGACACCATTGCTCCGTTCAATACACTGAGGGGGTTTTGTTGCTCCGGCCTCAGTTTGTCTTTGTGAGCGTTAGCTAACGTAAGCTAGCTTTAGATAAATCTTGCTGTAAAACATTTGCACTTGTGTTGCTGTGGCTTAGAACGTGAGCCAAACGCTAAACTGTAGTTCAAAAGTCAGATAGTGTGGCTTCAATGATGCGAGTAACGCTTACTCTTGTATGTTCAGAAATTACGTTACATTGCTGAGCGCTATATTTGCGAATGACTATTTTTTGCCTGCAGGTATATTTGCACACACACACACACACACGCACACAAACACACACATGTACTTCAGTGTGTTCCAGGCACATCCAGTAGTGCTGAGGGGATCTCTCGCCCAGGCAAATGAGGTTAGAGATGGGGCTGTTGTCGTCATTGAAGCAGTTGAGGGTTCAAAGCTGCCATTTAGCATGCTGTGAGTGGTCATGGGTTGAGACCCTGAGGGGGGGGGGCAAGCTCCCCTGTGATCTGTCAAAAGACCAGAACAAAGGGGATGGTGATGGAACAGTGCAATTTGTTGTACATGAGCAGTTGTCACCTTTGATGGGAAATTGAGTGTTGTCAGGTCTGAAAAGTGTAGAAATTTGGATCTTCATTTGTTACATTTTTATCCTTGCGTAGATTAGATTCAGATAATTGTACCATAGTTAATAGTTGGTCATTTCTGCAACCAAAACTAGCTGTCATCGTTATATTTATATTTTGAATTTCCCTCGGGATAAATAAAGTATCTATCTAATCTAATCTAATCTATTTACTGAGGTCCAGAAGAGATATGCAATTTGAAAGCAGACAATGGCAGATTTCTTTTTCTCTTTCAGGAGCTTCCCTTATCTTGAAAGAAAGATAAAGATAGACAGGCGCTGAAGTAGTAATTGATTTCGGTGTCACAGATAACCAGTCGCACATGATTTGAATCAAATGTCACGGCGTAGAGTTGTTTTTGGGCTGGTGTTACGCTCACTTTGCAGTCCATCAAAGTTGAAGTAGTATGACACCTTTCAGGCCTTTGTTCCTCATAGTGGGCCTTTTCGGTTGCGTAGGGATTCCTGATTTATTGTAAACCCACTGCAGTATGCATCAAATTGAGTGTTTTATTTAAACGTGGGCCAAATTCAGAGCAGATGCAAACTATATGAATCATAAATCATCTCTGTGGACCTTGAGGAAGAAAAAAGGGGGTTCGAAATTTTAGACAAAACATGCTAAAAATGAAAAAGAAGATGAGGCATTTGTTGTTGTTGTTGGATGGCTTGAATGTGAACGTGGCCTTCCCTTGTTTTAATGGTGGTGTGTACTTAGCTTGTTTGGCGTTTCAACAAACAAAGCCCTTCCCTCTGGCTAAAGGGAACATCCAGTTCTCGAGTAATGTGCCTGCTCGATGATGGTCGTCTCAGATACAGGACCCCCATTTAGCATAAGTTTTACATAACGTACAGATGCAGAAACTGACTGCCGCAGGTTCAATTCCACAGACTCAAATGCAGAAAAGAAAACACGAGGAGACCTTTCTCACACTGTCCTCACTTAATATTGTTTCGTTCATACAGCTAAATCAGACGTGACATCAATAAAGAGATTTGTTTGGAAAGGAGGTTCAACATTTACCTATCTCGAAAGTGCTTGCTCAAGTCCTGCAGGGAGCATAGGGATTTGCATTTTGTGGTGCTTCCGTCGCTGCTGGCTGGCCTCTGTTCCATCAACACACACACACACACACGCGCGCGCTTGAGGGAAGCCAGGCTTTTCCTACTTACTGCCTTAGAGTGACTTTTGGGTTCGCTCCGGGGGCTAATAGTGACAGAGTGTCAAGAGTGAACGTGGAGCGAGTCATAATGTCCTGGTTCTGTGTTGCACAGCTCAACCGGCAAAGCCACTTCCTCTCCCTGACTAGAACATGCTGTTCTGAAGAGTTCTTCATTAGCCAAGAAGAAAAAACAAATATATGACCATGCTTCAGAAATCAAACTTTACCCAAAAGTCTGCAACTAAGCCAGAACAGCTACTTTTATGAGCAGTGAGCTAAATGCATTATTTTAAAAAATATTTGCACATTTCATTACTTAAAGCTGCACCAATAGATATTTCTGTTACAACAGTGGATCAAATTGTTATGTGTAATGAAAGAGGTCGCAGAGAGAG